GATTTTCATTTTTTGGTCAAAATTGATAAAATTGCAAGGGGTTAGCCTTGCATTTTTACTCAAATTCGGCCAAAAATTGACTTTTCTCCAAATAGCGCACAAATTCCTTCGGATGCAAGGGGATCATCAATCACTACTCAAAAACCCATAATTTCGACGATTTTCGCAAAAAATGTTCAAAGGATTTTCATTTTTTGGCCAAAATTGATAACATTGCAAGGGGTTAGCTTTGCATTTTTACTCAAATTCGGCTAAAAATTGACTTTTCTCCAAATAGCGCACAAATTCCTTTGGATGCAAGGGGATCGTCAATCACTACTCAAAAACCCATACTTTCGACGATTTTCGCCAAAATCATCGATTTATTGAGAAAAAAAATCATATTTTTGAATGAAATTTTCCCATATTTTTTTTGCGCAAGATTTATTTTGATGGCACATCTGTCCCCAAATCGAGTTGGAATGTGTTGTAGGGCCCTTTAGGCATCATCCCTGCATGTTTTAAGGATTTTCATTTTTTGGCCAAAATTGATAAAATTGCAAGGGGTTAGCCTTGCATTTTTACTCAAATTCGGCCAAAAAAACACTTTTCTCCAAATAGCGCACAAATTCCAACGGATGCAAGAGGAGCATCAATCACTACTCAAAAACCCATAATTCTGACGATTTTCTCCAAAATCATCGATTTATTGACCAAAAAAATTCATTTTTTGGACTGAAATTTTCCCATATTTTTTTCGCAAGATTTCTTTTGATGTCACATCTGCCCCAAAATCGATTCGGAATGTGTTGTAGGGCCCTTTAGGCATCATCACTGCATGTTTTAAGGATTTTCATTTTTTGGACAAAATTGATAAAATTGCAAGGGGTTAGCCTTGCATTTTTACTCAAATTCGGCCAAAAAAACACTTTTCTCCAAATAGCGCACAAATTCCAACGGATGCAAGAGGAGCATCAATCAATACTCAAAACCCATAATTTGGAAGTTTTTGCAAAAATCATCGATTTATTGAGAGAAAAAGTTGGTTTTTTTGACTGAAATTTTCCCATATTTTTTGCGCAAGTTTTCTTTTGATGACACATCTGTCCCCAAATCGAGTCGGAATGTGTTTTAGGGCCCTTTAGGCATCATTCCTGCATGATTTCAGGATTTTTATTTTTTTTTGCCAAAATTGATAAAATTGCAAGAGGTTAGCATTGCATTTTTACTCAAATTCGGCCAAAAATCACTCATCTCCAAATAGCGCACAAATTCCTTTGGATGCAAGAGGAGCATCAATCAATACTCAAAACCCATAATTTTGAAGGTTTTCGCAAAAATCATTGAAGTTTTACCAACAATAAAAAAAAAATAATGCATTTATTACAGACAAAATGTCGCTAAAAAAATAAGTCTTAAACACCATTTTTATTTTCGCATCATTTATTTATTGATCATCACCAGCAATGCAGCTTAGCCTCAGTTCACCGTATTAAGCAAGGATTTATAATAAGCATTATTTTAAATTTTTCATTTAGAAAAAAAAACCAATACCTTAACAAGAGACAGCAATTCGAAAACTGTTTTAAAATAGAAATTAAAATTACCAGAAATCATAAAATGGCATGAAAATAAACCAAACCACCCCAAGGCAAGACAAATCGGTCTATGAAAGGATAAAAAAACCCACTAACAAATTAATCGATAATTAAAAAAATAGGATTATAACTCAGAGGAGATATCGAAAGGGGTGTAACCTAAAAACCGGTCAAGATTAAATTACAATGTAGTCAAGATAAAAAAAATTCATGTAAATGCAGGAGCTCCATTGCATTATTGCGGTGTTCCCAGTAAGTGCCTCTTTGCACTACAGATCATGCCTCATTTACAGTACACGTCACATTAATATCACACAAGGCTACTGTTCAACCGAATTTCAGAGCAATTTCATCCATATCCGATTTTTCTTTTTTACTGTGATATTTGGACAAATGGGATAGTTTCCAATGTCGCTCAGTAAAAGCCAAAGTAATGTGATGTCTGTGCCATATGACGCAATTTCAATAATTGACAATTTCCTAGAGTAATGATTAAGGGACCGATATGAATCGGTCCATTACAAGTACTGCACAGTGAACCGACCAGAAGCAACGAACACTGCAAAACAATCTACCTGTTAAACGGAGTCAAATTCCTCACAAGTACGTCACAAATCAATCACAAAGTCAAGTGAACAACTGATTAAATGAACTCAAGGCATTCCAGTGTAATCCTCCCCTTTACTCGTCCTCTTTGCTTGTGATTGACTTGTAGCAGACTTCGCTACAATTAACTCTGCTGATAAATTATTCAGTATTTGCTAAGATCACTTCTCAGCTCAACCAATTCATGCTAAGCAATCCTATGGCGTTAACAAATTTGAGGAGGCTTTTTACACTGCGAGAGATTTTTTTTTTAACTGGAGAGTAGATAGTCCCTGCTATTTTGTTTAATTCATTCCCCCAGAAAACTTCATTCATTAAAAAGATAAATTTGCGGTATATTCTATAACAACAATCCCTTCAAGCAACTTATTTTGTACAATTTGTATTTACACACACATCTCACCACCTTTTGATATTTTCAAGAAATATTTACAATCCAATTTCGTTTCTGAAAAAGAAAATTAAATACAATTAATAAACCCTGGTTTACAGTAATATATCAAACGTACTTCAAGACTTGCGTACCAATTTACGCATGCAAATTTTAATTTACTCTACGTACTTATGCATTCACATTTTGCATTGTAGCATTATGTACTTTAAATACTGTTTCAGGACAAATCTACATTTTGATTTTAAACTCTTGTCTTATATTCACTTCTCTTAATGATGGAATCTTGATTAAAATTATGGGCTATTGAACGACTTGGTGAATTTACAATGTGCTGGCACGATGTCACATAACGACCAAGCTGTGTATGATCATGTTACTCAGAAGTCAATAAGTCTCGAAAAAAATGTGACCTCTTGAAATCAACAGACTTTTTGCATCGATGTCACATCCAAGGGAAGGTCATTGCTTCTTTGTGATTGGTATGAGTGGACAACTTGCAATGTCAATGTCATCGAATTTAAATAACAAACTGCCCTCGCCGGGCAAGGGGTATGCAGTCGAACCCTGATAAGAAGAGCACTGTTAATACAACATCCTAATAGCAAGGAAAATGTTAGGTCCCAAGTCTTTGTTTTCTTTGTTTTCCATTACTGATATATTACAAGGTACCTGTTATAAAAGGTGATTTGTCAAGACCAAAGGACCTTGTTATAAAGGTGTTCGACTGAGATGACCTATGACACGAGACATTATTGTCCCTTGTCTTTGTCAATGATCCCCCTCTTCTTGCGACCGACTCGATATCAACTTTGGAAAATGACGGGTCATTAAGTCATCTTCCTAGTCAAGAACAACATGCTAAATTCAAGACTGCATTTTTACTCTGAATTGAGGTGAAAACCAAACATCATCTTTAACAGTGATGGTTACCATTGTCATGATTCCCATTTTAGTACATTTGACTTTCTTCAAGCGGACAAGTTCTTAAATACAACACAGTATTAACAGTCATTCCACCATAATTTCAAGTTTTAAAGCCTGGTTATAAACACTCACCACCTTCTAAAAGAAAGCTTCACAGAAGACAGAACGGAGTTGTCCAGCATTACAAGGTAGTCAGAGAATTTCCAAATAAAATATATCATAATCATCATAAAAAATGTACAGTAATTAGTTGTAAACTCGGGGTGTATGCTTTTACATGAATTTAAACAGCCATTATTTTCACAATTTTTTGCACTTGTGTGAAGCAGTCCACATTAGATGTCTTGGGTTTGAAATGAACAAGGACACAGAACTATTTCAGTCTTTAAAAAAAAACAATTCCTGTTGTGTTTTCAGGGACTAGCCTAGCAGTAAGTACCCAATAATGCTAAGCGGAAACTGTTGGTGAGCAGAAATCATGGTCCCCATGGAGAGGCTAAACACAGAAATTTGCAGATCACAGAAAGTATTGACTTAGCAGAAAAGGGATACCAGCCAATTGTCATGCTGTGTACAGTGCCTGTGACTGGTTCCCGCTGTCTTTTTGCTTAGCTCATCAATGGGCTAAACACGATTTTTCCTGCTAAGCCACAACTTTACATGTTCTCTTGCTAAACCTTGTGTAATTGATCACCAATCATTTTAGTGTTGAGCGCATGCTTCCAATTTCTTCTTTCTGTTTAACGCCACAGAGATAGATAGGTAGGGAGCTCTTCAGCAACTTAAAAAACAATTTTAGTCAATAACTTAAAACTAAAACTAGTACTCTGATCTATTTTACAGAAATCTTTATCACAATAAATACAGGTATTTTATACAAACTTTGAGCGCATGATTGTATCACTGCTGCTAATTCTTTCTTTTATACAGGCCTGGCAGAGTCAGACTTATTTACACAACGGGAAGAGTATGGATATAATTTACATCAACAGAAGAAATAAAAGTGACAGTATAGTTTTGGCCTTTCAAGAAGTGGTAAACACACACATGTAGTGATGAGATCATCAAAATATATCACTCATCGGGTTGGTTCGACTTGCAGTGTTTGGTGCACGTCACCCTGTATTTGACTTTCTGACCACAAAGGTGATAACCACCAGGGAATATTTGCCCATTTTTTCCCTCTTTCTTGTTATGGATTGGTTAGATGCTTAAAACCTACTATCATTGAGTGTGTTAACTGTTGCAAAAGAATGCTGGTTATGATCAGACTGCAGGTCATGACCCTTGTTCCCCTCTCTAAGGAAGGGGAGGGGCAATGTGCTCCCCCCCCCCCAAAAAAAAAAATTGGGGGAAGCCAAAAATGAGCATATTATCGTAAAAAAAATCCATTTAATGTCCCCCTTCAGAAAATGATGGCCTCCTCTCCCTGTGATGTGAACTCAATACAATTCTGTCCTCTTCCAAGAGGTAGGGTACATACAGGCCGAGGGGGGGGGGCGAGGGGGGGGGGGTTGACAAAATTAGCTTCGGCTGTATCTCTGGTTCCAGAATTTGTTTGAGGCCTTCATTTATCCAGTTAGAATGGGCAAATGGTAAAGTTCAGCCTGATTTTACAAGACGTGTTGTTTTTGAAGAAGAAAATAACCCTGCATTGAGCCGAATTTCTCCAAGAAAGGGACCCAAAATATTCTGAAGATGAAGCCCAAGACATAGCTAAGGTTTGGAACCCAGGTAAGTTATACCTTCGCAGTTTAGCTTAGTATAGAATAGTTCACATCAACACATCATCAAAAGCAAACAAAATAGGTGCTCCAGTGACCACAGTCTGTTCTTTGTTTTAACATTTAGACCTACATTACTTAAATGTACTGACAAGCATTCATCATACAAGCAACGCTATTTTCAACAAATTATGGTTACCGGTTGCACAATCAAGTTTCCAAGTGTTTCCTTGTGGATGTACAAAACAATAGAATTGTGCTTGCATTGCATTGATCATTGTTTAAGCAATAACCCACTTTATATTTAATCACACTCACAGGGACTTCATTATTTTCTTAGTTAATTCTTAAATAACATCTTCTCTTTGTCAGTACTCTGATTGTCAAACAGTTTTACACCCATAAAGGTTTTGGCAAGTAGTTTCAAGTTCCAGTCCGCTAACCCCAACATTTCTGTAAACGCAATTCAGCTCTTAGAGAACCACGCTAGTTCAGCTCCATCGGTTGACTAATCGGTAACTGTTCATGATGAAACAGGATCTTGTGGAAGCGTGAGGTCCCAACGTCTGCCGGGAATCCCAGGTACAAATCTCAGGAAAAAATCCAGGGACAGTACTGGCACAGCTGTTCCAGCCGTGACTGCATTAATTGTGGGGAAGATTCTTACTGTTCAGGAACTTAGGACCGTGTTGTGGGGACTATCTGCAGTCCCTAAAGCGTCTCTGGTCCCCACAATAACTATCGCTCGTCAGGTGTGGTCCCCAGAATTACAGAACAAGTGCGTGTGCGCAGGTGGAATTTGACGCAGATGATCAGTGTGGTGCACCCGGTGTTCCAAGCAGGGCTCAATATCATGGCACAGCTAAACGGAACACCAAGCAAGGTTATGTGCCAAGAAGCAATACATTGTACATTGCATGAGATTATGGCTGGTAATTATTTGAAGCTTAGTCATTTCTGTGCCTGACGACTTTCCAAGCTTCTTGAAACTCATTCCAAGTGATTTACGCGGTCGTCGGCTGGACTTGCTAAGCCAAAACCATTGCTTCACAAATTAATGTGCAGAGCACGATTCAGACGAAAACGAGTCAGAGTCTGGTGATCACCCACACATCTTTTGCTTAGCCGATTTCTGTTCCAGCAGGCCCCGTTACAATTGGCACCGGTTGGCTTTAGACGCTGGACAAGGCTTCGATGTATCCAGTCTGCTGGATGTCTTTGACCTCCCGAAGCTTACTGATTTCCCTCTGTGCGGCTGAGAGATCCTGCATGTGGCGGATCTCCTTCTCCTTGAGCTTCTTGATGTCGTGCTGCCAGCTCTGTACAGGCACAGGAGGAATATTGGGAAGATGTCTCAAGTGATTTCATCCAGTGACAACACCCATTTTCCACAAGGGGAGTCAGGTTGAGGTAGCGGCACTTTCCTCGCCTTCCACCGCTGTGACCCAGGTTCGAATCCTGCCTGGGTATTAGGTGGATTGGGTTTTCAGTCCCTACCTGATTCCGTGGGTTTTCCTCAGAATATTCTTCTGGGGTTTTCCTCCCACAGCTAAAATGGTAATTTCTTCACATTGTCTTCTCTTTACTGGGCCCCATGGGAGACCAGTGGATGCCACTGAATGGGCTTCCCATTAAAATAAGAATTAAATAAATAAATAAATAAAACAAAACACCTTTTCGACCAGTTGTACAAATTTACATTTATACTGGTGAAAGGTAACTTTGAAGCTCCTTATCTAGACAAGCTCTGAGATGCCATCAATCTTCTTTTGATTGACAGCAATAAGTAATAATGACAGCGACATTCTCACAAATTTGAAATAGAAATTGCCCTGTTTAACCTCACAAGAAGAATGTCAAAAACTTACTTTTGTGTGGAAAATACGTACACAAGTACTTATAGGGATGACATCATCGCTGTCAATTTTTTAAAGAGGTCTAAAATTGGGCAAAAGGTGTTTTTTTTTTCTTTCTGATAAGGTCTTTCTGTCAGATTCAGAAGGTTAGATTTCAGATAAGTCTGAAAAATCTCACGCCTGTACTTACCACATTTGTTCTGATAAGATCAAGTTTCTCCGCTTTTAATTTGTTGATCTCTGACCTCATCATTTCCAACTGCTGAGACAAATTTGCTGCAGGACAAAAAAAAAAGATTCCTTAAAATTTCGAAGTTCAAAAGAAGAAGTAAGTCTTTTTGTCACACCCACAGGGCCAGCGTGTTGCACTCTGACTCCTTGAGTCACTTACTGTCTGAGTTAATGAGAATAAATGTGAGGCATTCTGTCAAAATGAGACACAAGTGGGCAGAGGTCGAAATGAGGGTTTGCGGATACTACAAATAAGAATAAATTTGTTAAAGTTTGCACTTAACAACATGTCAAAAAATAAAATAATGAGAAAAAGGCCTTTAAAGTTTCAAGTATTGTAGTCGTCCAAATGAAATATGGCAAATGGTTTTCCTTAGAAACACTTTTATTCCATGATTTTTATACGGTTTCTTTAAAGTGTGTTAGACATATCAAAGGTTAGGCCAAAAAAAAAAGTCTCCAGTTTCTGGTATGGAGCTTGCCCAAAAAGTGGTGCGGCGACGCGGCTTTTTTTTTTTTTTACCTGATTTTTTTGCTTCAAATGTCGGCTGATGACTGCCAATGGTGCCCGACTAAACTCAGTGCAAATATATGGGAGTCCAGAGAGGCCACATAAAGCTTATTCTCGACCATAACCCAATCTAAAAACACGTTAAAATTGTGCAGCAGCAGGATTCCAGTAAAACCAGTGAGTTTGGCGGTTTTGAGACATCATCTTTCATTAAAAAAAAAACTTTTTCATTTTGCCGACGTGCATGGCTACGGCGACGCGCGCGCATACCAGAAACCGGAGACTTTTTTTTTTGGCCTTATAAATATCAATAAATCTGAAAATTGAAAACAATCACTCCCGTTCATATTTTGGCATTTTTCTCCACTATTGCCTGTGCCCAATTCCGTCTCATTTTGCCAGAATGCCTTACAAATAGTTTGACTAGGGAAGCTTAATGTTGTTATAATTATATAACTGTCTTTACAGGCTTTGCATCGGGGACAGTTCAAATTGACAGCAGTTTGCAAATCCACAATGCTGCACTTTACACGACGTACCCGCAATCTTGAGCTATGGTATTTCTCTGTTACTATAATGTTTTCAGTATTTTCTCAAATTTGTTCAGATTGTGTGTTCAGATTCCATTCAGCCACTGTTGATACAATCAGGATTGTGAAATGGCAAAAAGATCAATTGAATGTTGCCAACGGGAAGCATTTTGAGAACAACTACGAAGCACTCACTTTCGATTTCCAATGCTGTCGTGCATTTCCCCTCCGGGCACAGGCAAGGATTGAGAGGGCTTGCTTTACTGCTAGATATACAACCTGATGACATACTCCCCTGGGTCGAGAAAGATCCAGAAAAATGATATCAGAAATGCGAATGTCTAGAGAGTTACATTCCAGTTGATTACAGAGGTCGGTGGTGTCAGTGACTCCTATCACGGGCACGTATCTGACACCCATTTCTCAACAGGTGCTCCCACAAACACAGCGGTTATTTTAAAGGTGGTTGTACTTGTGTGATTTGTTTTTCCTGGAAAAAAAATGGTACACAATTTTGGAAGTGATCCATAGTAGCATATGAATGTAAAAATAGACGTAGTTTCTCAAAGAAGTGGGGCATGGTGATGACACCACCTTTGTCTTTTTTCGTTCGCAATTTTTTTTGGCTTCCTTTGGCTTCTACACCTGATTGCCTTTTTACTTTGTCATCAGGGGCAGCTTCCAAAAAACAAACAAAAAATTCTATCTATAGCTCAAATTTTTTTAATCAGAATGTCCGGAAGACAAAAATTTAATAACAATCTCGCTTTGAAGGTAACCCAGCTAACACATCACGTTGCCACAACGTTGTGCAAAGTTGTGAAAATGTTGTCATTTGGTAACGTGTCACGATGACATTCAAGCAACGTTGACACAACGTTTGACTGTATAATTGTTGGTTGTAAAAATGTTGTATATTGGTAATTTGTACAACGTTGTACGAAAGTCATCATATGACATTGTATTGACGTTGTATGGTGGTCGTTTCACAATCGTTGTAATAAAGTAGTAAATATAACGTTGTGGTTACGTTAAATGTAGGTGTTTTCATGACGTTGTTTTTAAGTTGTCAATGTTACGTTGTCAGAACGTTGTAATTTAGAATGTTTACAACGTTGCTGTGAGGTTATAATCATGACGTTGAGTTAACGTTCCATCTACGTTATTTTATAACGTTTTTTTCAGTTGTGAAAATCACATTGTCACGACGTTGTAGTTTGGTATTTCAAAACGTTGCGGTGATGTAAAAATCATGACGTTGTTGTAACATTGTACGTGGGTACTTTCACAACGTTGTTGGTATGTTGTTATTCTCACGTTGTCATGACGTTGTAGATAACAATTTACACCACGTTGCTGTGTTCATGACGTTATGATGACGTTGCATTAAAGTCTCATCATAATGTTGTTGTTAAGTTGTAAATATCATGTTGTCGTGACATTGCAGTTTGGTATTTTCACAGCATGGCTGCTATGTTGAGAGCTCACGTTGCTGTAACGTTTTATAAAAGTGTTTTGACACTGAATTTAAGTTGCAATTATGCTGTGCGTTACGATCCATGCTGTTGTGGTGTTGACAAAAACATTGTGATTACGATTTAGCCTACTGAATGTGAAGTGAACATATAATATGTTTTAATTAATGATGTTTTATTTGATAATAATTATCAATTGGGTGCCGCCTTGCATTAATAATGTAACTCATGAAATTTCGAACATCATCATGTTTGTTTTGTCGTAGTAGGAATATAATGTTTCCAGATATTTTTCTAATGGTCTAAGATGGATGAGATCGTGGTCATAGCGCGACTGTTTCCCGCTCATATTCATTGTTGAATACTCAATGTATACATGAACTTTATTGCACACACCAACGTTACTAGAAATATGATTCCCGTTCTCAAAGAAAATATTACCATGGCGCATGCGCATCAGCAGAAATTCCACGTCCAGACCGCGTGATAGCTCATTTGAATTGCTCTGCTCAGTCGAGTCAGCAATCGAGCAGCAGCAGCTCACTATAACGGTCGCCGACTCGCCGTCCAGTTGATGTGAAGTATGGTCGCCAAACAAGTTATTTTCACTACAGCATTTCTTAGAAGGTAGGAATGAAATTTTCTGTATTTTGACTTCATTCTTGTGTCGAACACAATGTCTAAAAATCTGATGAAAGGATCAAATTAAAGTAAAACAACTTTTCGAACAAAGTCGCTGTCAAAAAAATGAAGATTTTCCTATGCCTATCATCTTTGTTTTCAAGTTTTAATAAATGTTGAAAATGTTCTTCAGACTCGATCAGAATAAATGTAGATTAATTAAGAGTGAAAATATGTGCCTCAATTGAGATTGGAGGCTCGTCAATGCGAACAGTTTTGGAGGATCATACACTGAAAGAAACGTTCAAGTCATCTGGTTTTCAATTTAATAATAAAATCTTGGTAATATTCCAAGGAAATAATATACATGTGGATCAGATTTACTCGAATTCATGTGCGACATGTTAGACCTTTTTAACAACATTTTAGGTTGGAAAGTTATTTGTTCGATAGTTATAATTTTACATAAAACAGATATTGTTTTAGCAAATGGCCAAAATGGCAAAAGTGTATACATTATATCGAGAAGACTTTTGTTTTGTGTACTATAGTATATGCCTATGTTTGTATTTTTTTTCTTCAAATTGATGAATTAATCAAAATGTAACAATATTGTATTGAGATGATACCCGAGCCAACAACCGTGAAATTGTTACCTGGGGTATCTCTTAATGTATAGATCTGAGTTGATTTTCTCTCAACTAAAACTAGCGCAAATTTGAGCATAAACAGTCCGTTATAAAATTCCCGCTCAAAGACACAGTGTACGGTTGTAATAGCAACGCGCATTAGCATTTCAGTCTCAAGGGTCAGGCCTAAAGTTCACGTACCACGACCGTACACGTATAAACGGTCATCTGGCTTTCGTTGGCTTGTACATAACAAGTGTATACAGTTTCAATCCGGGCTTTCGGGCCGTATAGCTCCCAGGGTTTGGCGTGATTTATGGGAGTTTGACCAAAGTGTGCGGAGTAGGGTTCAGGGCCAGGTCAGCACTGTTACAAGATCAATGAAAAATACGCGAACTATAAAAGCCTTTTCTAAAAAGGGTCATTTGTAGACTATTTTTTTCGTGAAAATAAGACATTATGTGGGTTGAAGAGCACGGGGACATCATATTTACACTGTGTTCAAACTTGATTAGTTTTATATATTTCTCAACCTTAAAAACATCGTTTCTTTCTCCAGGTAGGCAGTATACAGGTATGCTATACGTGAGTGCACTGGCTGCAGAATATGGCATGTTTAAACTTTTAACTTCAGCAGTCTTCGAGGGAGGAAGTTTCTAATTATTTTGAAAACCACCCCATACATCTCTTCAAGGTTGTTGCTGTAAGTAATTCAACATACACTGACCTTCTATACATGTATCTCTGTAAGATGGTGAAATTAACTTTTAAAATGTGTTGAAAATACACCTTGGTCGAAATTTGTTAAGTGATTACCTGACGTTCACCAGACACCTATATTAATTAAATTTATGTATTCATGAAATTTATCTATACTATAAAATTCAAGAACGTGAACCCAATGCATGCATATCCAAATCCTTCCAACTCAAAATTTCATACTACCACGTCCGCCTTAACAAAGTCATTCTTGTCGAGTCATGCGCCAGAAAAGATGCGTGCCCAATGCTCTCTAAAAATAACCAAAAAAAACCCACACATTTTGCGTGAACCTCCCTGGCGAGAGCTGATTAATTTTCTAGCAGGTATTAACTTCAATGTTGTGAAAAAATGCAATGAAGTTTATAATTTTTATCGTTAGATGTCTTTCAAAAATGAATAACTTGTATTTCGCAGGAAAATAGCAGTTGAAAAAAAGTAAATAAACTTTCGGGGTGAAACTCGAAAGTAGCGTAGGCAACGGATCTTTAATCAAAATAATTATGAATCAAATTAGGTTTTGCCCTTCACAGACGTATAAACACTGTGTACCCGGTGTGTATTCGCATAAAATAATTATGCGCATATCAAAACTGCTACTGGACGGTTCTTCTTAACATTTAATGAAATTGTTTCGTGTGAAATTTGAATTACTTAAAAAAAGCTTGAGCTCTTTGGTAATCAAATATTTTCTGTATTATATTCAGGTGCCTGCATGACATGACTTCGCATGAACTTTTAGAAATGGCAGCCGATTGTGCTTGGTTATCCAGAAGGGCCAAGATTCAAGGTACGTGTATTAAGAAACTAACCATCGCAGTCACTAAATTGATTGGTCAAAAGGTATCAGCGACAAACACCTTAAATACACTTCTGAAACGAGCACCATAGACCTAATGCAATGCCGACTACCAAGACCATAAACTTGCGGAAGAACCAACATTTTGATCGTTACGTACATACATTTGAACATGAAGTTGTTTAGATTACATAAAAATGCGTAAAACAGGCTGGCGCTTTAACTCTCAACCAGGGTTTTTGGTTACCCTTTAAATTTGAGAAATATCCTGGACTTCAGGGTCAACTTGAAACAAGAGGCTCATTTATTTTATCCCTGTCTCTCGTGGGTTAAAGATTGTACATGTAGAAACACAGGCACAGCTCTGCTTGAAGTACATGTATTGAGAAGACAGACATTATCTGGATATACATGTACTTTTAAATTTCACATCTGGTGAGCCAGCGTGACACGCAGTGAGTGTTTTAAACCTAAGGCAGCAAGCATTAAAAAGTTCATAATGTTTAAAGAATTGATACATTGTTTTTTGTTTTCCTTATTTTCTTGTCAGATTCGTGTCTTTGGAGAAGTGCCATATTGACAACCTTGCTGAACAAGGAATCCACTTTTTTTCTACATCTGGATAATCTTCTGTTAAAGGTTCCATTAAATGAATGTTACTCTAAAACATAGATTGGGCAATTAGTCAATCTGCATGGAGGTATTCAAAGAAAATCATGTTGAAATGTCAATATTTTAAAATGCAGGTTTTTTGCGAGTTCCCTGTATACAAATATATCTTCACGAACAAACGTTATTCAAGTGTCCCTTTCAAGTGTTATTCTTTTTCATAGACTCTGTAGCTACAAAAAAACCAAAACAATTCCTTTGAGTTTTCTTTTGAAGATCTTCCATGGGAGAGAAAGAAAATGAAGGATCTAGATAGAGGACAGATTTAAAAAGCATGTGATTCAGTAGATTAAAAGTTGTCGGATCTATTTTATTTGTTCGATGTGAAAGTCGCCTTCCTATACTATATTTCTCATCACGGACAGTTGAAAATACTAATGTTCAAATACTATTTGAAACCATACTTTTGCTGGAATGTACGTTACGTATAGCACTGTGTAAAACCGGTGAGTGGCTAGGTCGCCGATAATAGCCCTTGCATTCCGGCTCTGGCTAAATTATTGGCGACCAGACCCTTCATCTTCTAATTGCTCAGTAACAACGTTATTGTCTTGTTAAAAGGTCGGTTCATACTCTGTGAAGTTACGGCAATTCACTTTGTGAAGTTACGGCAATCATTAACGCCAGCGCTAAAAATTTGGGGGAAAAAGAGTGAACCACATTTAACTCTGGGCAATTTTGAGTCAAATGGTTTCGATGTCAACATTTAAAAATTTGCTTTCACTTGAAGTATGAACCGATCGTTAGAGCTCAGCCCAGTCACTAAGGCGTGAATTCCGTAATGTGGATTCAAGTAAAAGACTTTAATTTTATACCATTCACGAAATGGACACTGTAGTAATATGTGCATATTGATGTGTCCAAATAATCGCAGTGAGTATTAATTACACTTACCGTTTTAGTGATTGCATTTTAGTAATTTTTTTACATGCTCTTGTTTCTGAACACTCTTTGTAATAAAATTAGAGAAACATGAATTACATGTATGTTTAATTGTTTTGTTATCGTTTTCAGAAACATTTCCCCATAAATGCCCAGTAGGTTGCAGTAAGGTGGCCACCATGTTGCAGCAACGTGCCTTTAAAGTTGCAGAAACGTCCCATTTAGCTGCAATAACGTGCCCACAAAGTTGCAGCAATGTCCTCATAAAGTTGCAGTAACGTGCCCATTAAGTTGCAGTAACGTGCCCATAAAGTTGCTTAAACGTGTCCAATACGTTGCTTTAACGTGTACAATAAGTTGCATTAACGTGTCCAGTAAGTTGCAGTGACGTCCTCAATTAGGTTGCAGTAACGTGCTAATCAAGTGGTAATCATGTCGCCAAAAGGTTGTAGAAACGTGCGTAGAAGTTGCTGTTATGTGTCAATTTGGTCGCAAATAACGTGGCGTCAAGGTGGTAATCATGTGCAATCACGACCAAAAAAAGTTGTGATGTATGTTGCGTTTACGTTGTGGAAACGTCATTGTAACGTTGCGTGATAACGTTGTAGCAACGCGCACGCGAGTCGACATTTTTACGTTGCCGCAACGTCATTTTCCTCACGTTGCAGCGACGAAAACCTGACCTTCTGGCAACGTTGTCACAACGTAAATGTGTTAGCTGGGAATGTTTTGAGAACATGTACAGCAAAACACGTTTCATGTTAAAATTGTTCTCAGACAGTTTTAAACATTCCTTGAGAAGAGTACTTAATATCAGTTCAAGGCTTACCATTCCAGTGTCTGAGTCTTCATGTTCATGAGGCTCATCATCGCTGTTGAAGCTGTCCAGGGAGTTACTGGGCGACACTCGACACGTGTAAATTCTGCAGAGGGAGGAAAAGTTATAAGGATGGCAGGGTTGACTAAACTGCTAACATTCAGAGGTGAGCATTGAGGATACAGCACAACTTCCATCAGCACTCAGTCTTCAGACAAAACAAAGTTGGTAAATTCGGGAAGGTTTTGTTCGACCTGTGTTTCATCAAGCTTTGTTGTGTTATCTCTTAACCAGTTGCAGAAGAGAAACAATCCTTAAACTTCGGATCCGCACATTTCATTCAAACCTTCGCATAAAAAAGTAAACCTCATTTCAAACACTCTTGAATAGAGTTGAAAGAGCATTTGTTTTAGTCAAATCCTATATAACTTCGGCGCGGACATCCAGGAATTTTTTACATTGGCTGATCTGGCTCCCAGACCAATGTTCTTGAAACTCAATGGTTCTTGAGTCTGGAGTGCTGAACGGTAACACATCGCACCTGTACTACATTGTACTACATTGTATTACATTGTATAAACATTGTACTACATTGTATTACATTGTATAACATTGTATTTATTCTGTGCTGAATCCATACAACCACATGCTTAAACGTTTAATGTCCAATGTAGGATGTGACCAACTAACAATGACCGACACTTCTTGCACGGGCAACAGACAAGCTGGGGCATACCTCGTTCTCGAGTTGGCAACATCGGGCGAGCTGTTGAGGGAATTGGAGGAGGACTTGTGGGATTCTTGACTGCCATTGATGCTCTCGGAGGAATGAGAGGACCTACTGAGCATGCTGTCTCTGTAGAGGTTATCAGAGAAAAAGATTCATTCAAAATAAATCAATCAATTCGGAGAGTAAGAAATCACATTCAAGTCGAAGATATTGAATCAATCACAAGTTATCAAAAGTCAAAAGCTTTGAAAAGTGACGACAAAGGTTTTTTTTTCAATTGTTTATCCTGTTACTTGTGAGCCAACTTGTGATTGGATGGTGATTTGGCCAAATAATATCTTGTTTATATTCCTTCCTTGGCTGTATATCACAAATGTGATGCGATCAAGCCAAATGAGTCGTTTGTCGACCCCAGTCAATTTTTTTTATTACAGATTTGAAAAGAGCACAATCTCAGCATTACTGCTGTGAAAACCGCATGCTGGTACCATCTTTAGTTATGGAAGTCGGAACACCAAGAGATGTGATGAAGTGATGTGATGAGGTGGTCCTATTTTGGCATGTACCTCCAAATGAAAATTCCTGACAAACGACTCATGTGGCTTGATCATATCACAAATGTTACGAACTTTGTCCATTATAATGGCATAATGTAATCAATGTTTAAATTTAACCAATCAGGTTATCTCTAGGAACCAACCAATAACCAAGAGACCAATCAAACAGAGTCTCTCAACAAGTCCTAACCAAAATTGATCCACAACTAGACTAACTTGTTACTTTTCTCTCGATACTTGAAACCAAAGTTTCAAGTGCTCCTAAAGTGGAACTCGAGTGTGACATCATCAAGGGATGATCGCTACCTTTTTCTCTTCGGCTCTTTCTTGTCTCCGACACTGCTCCCGTAACTCTGGGTACTACTCGTGCTTCTTGTGCTAAGCCTCAGGCTTCTGTTTCCCTTCGGTTGCTGCAGGAGAAAAACAGGCTTTAAAGATTAACCAAAAAAAAAAGTACAGCAAATAGGATTTCGAACATCACTCCTTCTGTGGTTATTTTGTTTTGGGAATGGAAATGCGATTCAATTCCTATGCGAGTGCTGTAAATGTTTTTTGAGGTTAATGCGTTTCAGAGAAAGAGTAAAAACAAGAGCTTCTCCATCTGTCGCCGTAAATATGCCCAAACAACGGCACTGAATTCCTCTGGGTGGTGTAATGCAGGTGATAAGCTTGTCTTAAGACCATCTTGAAGACAGGAAATGTCTCCGCTGGGAACTCCACCCTATTAATGCCTGAATCCTGGAGAGAAAAAGTCTAAGCGGATGATACCTCGTGTGGCTGGACTCCATTTGTCACTAAGAGTTGTAAAAGGGGTCTTAGCCCAAGGGAGTACGTGTATAAAGTAGGGCGTTGGCAAGGGGCTGGCAAGGGAGAATCACCAGCCACAAATAATAGCCCAGATTGCATTTCTACCACTTCAAACTCTGGAATTCTACCCTCTTTTGGGGTGCAAGTAATTCCTGTCTTAAGGGCAATTCCGCGGTTACTCATGTTACATTTTTGATGTACTTTTGAGTTTCCTTGGGCTGTAATTACCTTACTGAAAAGTTTTAATAACTGTTATCCCCATGGTAGATAGAGTAGACCTAGACCAACCTAAGCACCAAAGATGACATCCAGAAAAATGAGTTATGTATGATAAACAAGCTGCACAAAATTGGTTACTCACGTTACGAAAATGTAACGTGAGTAACCGTGGAATTGCCCTTAAGACTTCTCCCATTCTTCAAGTACCCATAATTTACAGAGTGAGTTTTCTTTAAGGATAGCTAAAACACTTGCAACCTGTGGGTCAACATGTGTTGGGGTTGTGCTCGGCACCCACATGAAATTATCAGCCGATTTGAGTGGCTGCATTATCTCCATTATCGAACATCAAGAGGTCAGTGGTCAAGTGTTGAGGCGTTCTGGCAAATGAGAAAGAACTGGGCAGCGGTAGAAATGAGGGTTTGCGGGTATTAGGAAAGAGAATAGAATCCTCCTTACAATACTGTTTGTTGTTCTTCAATTGGATATTCCGTTGACAAGTTTATGGCTGTTTAAACTTTGCATTTATCGACATGTCAAAAAAAGAAAAATACTGAGAAAAAGACCAATAAAGTTTTAAATTTTGTATTCCTGGAAAAAAAAGACGGCAATTGTTTTTCCTTAAAACTCTTCTATTCCACATATTTTTTACTATATATAGTAGACATATTAAAGATTGCGAAAATAAATAAATCTGAAAATCAAAAAAAAATCATCTCCACTACGGCCTATGCCCAGTTCCGTCTCATTTTGCCAGAAAGCCTCACAAGTAAACACAGCAAACGAATGCAGAGCACTTGATTGGAAGGCACCTGTTAGGAACAGCGACTGTATTACAGACAAATAAAAGGTTCTGCACTTACTACTGGACTAGTCGCCTCCCCCTCCTCCGGTATATCAGCGGCAAACGTCATGTTCCCGTTGGGCTTATTATGCATGGGGCTGGTGCTGGTGTCGACAGACTGGCTGCGTCCTCTGAAGGCCTTCTTGAAGGAAGGCCAGAGGCCTCCGGGGCTGCCGTCTCCCTTGGCTAAGATGCTGAGACTAGTGGAGGAATCCAGGCAGGTGATGGAGCAGAAGATCTCCTCGTTCTTGGTGTTGAGCTCCGAGTAGAGGGAGTCCAGCAGGGCAGCTCTTGTCCTCTCCTGGACAGAAAAAAAATCTGAAATTCACCTCCAATCCAAAGTTTTGTATCTTTCAAAAGATACTAGGGTTGAGGTTCACAGTGCTACTAAGCACACCATTTTTACAAAGACTATAAGTAGTTATTACAGAAAAGTTGCTTCATCAATATTGAGACAACAAGAGGGATCTCCATGTGACTGCAAGCATGAGCACATCTAATCTGTGAAATGTGCTCGCTTTGAATTGGTGAGTTTGAACATGCCAGAGCCTATTTTCGTTGTGCTGCTAAGCACACAATTTCTGCCCTCCCCGAAGAGAGCCAATGTCAATTTTACAAAGAGAGCAAGTGTTAACTACAGCAAAGAGCATGCTGTTTTCAAAGGCAAAAGTTGCTTAGTCAAGAAACGTGATGCAACGAAAGACATCTTTAACTCGAACAAGCCTTATACTAGTCTACTGTGTGAATACTCTTGAGGTTATCAAAATAGTTCCGATACCGTTATCCCAACTTTTCTGCTGACTGTTAAGCATCTGAAATTGGCAAATGTTCATTACGCCTGTCGACATGCAAGGTAATAGAAAATAGAATCAAAGACTTTTTCCCACCTGTATGGTGCTGAATTTGTCAGCCTTGTAGCAGGCGTTCTCTCCGTTGAGAAGTTTAGTCAGTATGAACTCTCTGAATTCTGGACCCTTCTTGAAGACGGACGGACTGGGGAGGGCCGGACCGTAGAATGGAACATCATCCCTTGCCGTCACCGCAACCTGGAGAAACAAACACTCACTATTAACGCTGTCATATTTGGAATAAATATATGTTAATGTCTCCAAATTACTTGAATTATTGTCTCTTCTATATGTAGTGATATGAGATTGATATTAATATAAATCTTACTTATGCAAGGACATGCTCAAATGTAGAACCTTGTAATTTCAAGTTAACTGAAGTGCATACACTAGAAGTTACTTGTTGCATCTTTCACATTTTTAAAAAAAATGTATGGTTCTCTCCTTCAATAAGACAACACTCCAATAGCATGCTGTAGTAAATGCGGCCCTTCCGTTTGTTTCACAATATTAAGGCCACTCATAGCACGGAATTATGGCATTTGAATTTGCATATCTTTAATCTGAAAGTCAGAGAAGCTGAGACACGGTCAGTGACTCGTGAGTCCACCCACCTTGTATCTCGTGTTCTCAGTATTTGGCTCGATAGCTTGCACCACGATGAAGGAATGAAGGAAGTTGGAAGCGATCATGTCAGGGACAAATGGCGTGTTCTCCTCCTGGAATACGATGGCTACGATGTCGTTTCCTATGTGTCTTTTCCGCTGCAACTGTTTCAAGAAAAGTGAGCATCATCAGAAATGGAAAATCACCAATTGTCTCATTAGTAGGTAATTAGAGGGGGTGACAGTTCTCAAAATACTGCATCATATAGAAATATTCCTAACTCTAGCAATTCAACAATGAGTAATTCTATTTTGATTGCACTTCTAGTAAACGGATCTCAATTAAACATTAAAACTGTTTTTAAAAAAAATGAGGTTTCTTTGATGCGCTCTACAAATTGTCATCCATTGTTACAATGAACTGTTTGAATAACTCATATTTTTATTACAAGTGAAACACACACGTCCAAATCCCTAAAAGTTGACCACTTCAGAGTAAAAAAAACTACATCAAATCAGTGAGCAATGCACAATCTTCCTAACCAGTAGATTCATGATTTCCTGTAGAGAGAAGTAAGCCAGCACCTCGTCTTTATTTACCTGTTGTTTGTCGCCCTCTGTGTGCGGTAGTAGCGTGGATACATGAAACATGACGTCCCTGCCAAGGTGTTCAGTGAAGATGGAATGTGTACCAGTCTGTCCGTGTTGCACATCAAGACCTCCCCGAAATCTAACCAAGTCAGAAAATGATATTCCTCTCTAAATTTTCTAATCTCAAATTATCATGCAGCATAATACAAGTCAACAGAAGTCACATACTTTGTTACTTTGATTTCAATAAGATTCACGAGATAAATAGATTCCAGCATTACATACAATTTGTCTGAACAACTTTTAATGACTTGACTTTACGAGTCACTGAGTGTAAATAATTTAAGCGTTGTTTGAAGCTTACTCTCACTACCAGCTCTCTTCAGAGCCAACATTCCCTCACAAAAGAGATTTGTCCATGGTGTACCTGCAAACCCACTCCCCCACTTATACATAATTTCCTAAACTGACACTTTTGGTCAAGCTTGACTATGCAAGTCTTGTCTATTTGAGCCGAGTTTCATTACATCAATGTGCTCTTACCCTGTGAAGTTTTTCAGCTCGATTTTATCGCCTATCACCTCTAGGAACTCATTGAAGGCATCGCTAGTGTTGACGTTTCCAAAGAGTTCCTCCTCCGTTGTCTGTCCGTATCTCTCGTAGATGACTCCAAATTTGAAGTTCTTCACACACATGTGTTCATCGTAGGTCACGATGAGGTCTGAGGCCTATAAAAAGAGGTAAAAACTGTCAATAATTTTTCATAAACTCGTTTTTTGGGGGGTTTTGGGGGGGCGTAATCAAGAATTTCATTTTGATTTTTTTTTAATGAGTTGAATGTGAACAGGATAGTATTGGATTGGATTCTCTGAAGATAACATAAAGACAAGTAAATATACCCTACAAATTTGAATGAGTACCATCATTATCAAAAATAAATAAGGGAATAAATATGTGCTTGGCCAGTTTTAAAGAAATACGTTAAAAATGGCTTGGGGCCTGGATGCTGATAATGGCCTGATCGAGTCTCCTATAATTTGGCGTGCGCGTGGTGCGTACTGCACGATGTGGCGCAGAATGCAGCGGTGCCACAAAAACAAAATGTTAAAAACCAGTTGGTATTTTATCAACCGTTTAAAACCACCCATGTGACAGACTCCTGATCAATAGGAATGGGTAAATGTCTTAATAACGAAGTAATGTAATAATAACGATTTATAGTCATTTTACCTTGGGAAAAAGGACAGGTTGAAATCTTTCTGTGGTAATAGCTTCATCTAGTACCTGAAACAAGAAGGAACAAGTAAACACCCATTGGCAAATGTGGACAGAAACTTACAACACTTCAATTAGATGAAACGAACCAATCAACTATTTCATTCTTTGTATTGTTCAATTTTCATCTGTCTTTCCTTCCAAATGTAGTGTTATCATGGTTATTTCAGTTGCAGGCATGGCCACAGCCTTTAGATCTAAACTTGTCACTCAAGCTTTTGTGATTTACTATGTTGGCTGAAGCACTTTATTATTAAGTGTTAGGAACATAAGCCGAAACAACAGGGAGGCATATAATATGACTATGAACATGAGTCCAGACAGATAGACATGGGATATATGGGTGTCATGGGGGGGGGGGTGTTCGATTGGGGTCATGGGTCATCAATAAATAAAGAATTCCTAAACTGGGAGGTAATATCCTTACTTTGGCAAGTTTGGACGGCACAAGAGAGTTTCCGAAGGTAGACAACGGCAGCAGATCGTGGGTGGTACCACTCCGACATCTGACAATAAATATCATAAAAATCATTCATCAAAAGCCTCACCAAGCAATGAAAAATTTGACAGAAGTACAATTTGGATCTAAGACCTTTGAACCTATGCAACCAACTTTTGCCACAAAGTCACACAGTAACTTGGGTCGGAGGAGACGTCTGTCAGAAAGCATAACTTATTTAATACTGATAAACATGTTCTTGTCATGAACTTTATGTATTCACTGATGACTGCAAAAAAAAGTGCTGGGGCAGTTTAGGGCGGTACAAGGAGAAGTTGGCAGGACGGTTTCGGGCAGTACAGGAATGAATAGGTTAAATGGCTCTCCAGTATAAACAAACTATCTCTTCCGATGCAATTGCAAAAAAAATATTAAAGATTGATGAGTCATAAGAAGTAAGATTTTGTTACTTGATAGATAATGCAAATCCTTATCACCTCCGAATGTATGATTCCTATTACTTCAAATCCTGTGTCAACACATCTGGACCACCACAACACATAATTTACTGACTGGTTATGTAATACCTCTCTGTCATATTATCCACGAGATTATATCTAAAACCTTATCGCAGACTACAGGGATTGTCACACTTTTTTTTACCATAGTCATGACTCATTACTCGCTCAGGTGTAATGAAAGCAAGGCTAAGAAAATCACATATTCTTTTGTTCTTGATGCAAAATGGCACGACTCTTATGGCTGAGTCGCAGAGCATGGGTGCTTTTGCAGGTTTTTGTGACTTCTCTTACCTTAGTAATATTCTGATCTGCTCTTCAGCGCTTGTCGTCTCCTGTTTGATGGATAGTACTATTGGTCCCATGGTTTCATCCATGGCTATGTAGTTAATATGCTCCTACAAAGACAAAAAAAAGCTATAAGTTGTGCTCTATTTTTTATCACCATGCTAATTCTTGCCATCTGTGTTACTGTCGTCTTTCTATTTTCTTTGATTCTTTCGCAAAATTTTCACTGATGATTGACAAGGCTTTCCTTCATCACAAACCATCAATGCCAACACTGTCATAATAAATGATTATTGAACACCTAAACATGATTATTATTTACTCTGGAAACTATCCCCTTCTGTCTACAGCATCTTATTGAGGGCACTGAAGTTTTGTGGTACGGCACTTTCCACCAACTATGCATTCAGATTTATTTTCCTCATTGATATCAAATTCATTCCAACGGGAAGATGGCTTAATTGCCTCTAGAGGGTTTTGTAAAAAAAAAATTGAAATGGTCCAAATTTCTGCATTATACATCACCTCTGCCAAACTAGTGAGCAACTTGTACTTAAGTGGCATGGAATGTACGGAGAGCACTCCTTTGCTCATCTTGCCCTGTGCCCCCCCCCCCCCTCCCCGGCCCTCCACTTGAGATCGACTACAAAAACAAGTCAAATGATGGACCCCATCTTGAGATCAATATGTGTTTCTGGTCTTAAAAGGATACAACATTTGCAAACATCAAAAAATAAAACTATCAAATCATTTTGAAATACCTTGCTGGAGTGTTAGTGAATGACAGTGTAAAGCATACTGCAAAAATTCATGGCACCTGGTATGCTGTCATTTTCAAGAAAAGTGGTATTTTTGTATCAATTTCCAACGCTGATCGGCCGATCAGCGTTGAATAAAACTGGCTTTTTTTCAAATACTGGCCCCAGTTGACCATCGCACTTGTTTGCAAGCGAGTACACACCTATGAACGGGTACAAGCCAGCTAGACTGGTTCCCTGACCTTACAATTCCCCAATATATGTAAACTGCTGTGTTTCTTCTTAAATGGAGTCAGGGAACCAGACTACAGGAAAATGATTGTTTTTCTTGGTTTTTATAGCATTTTCGAACCCAAAACCTCAAAAAAGTCAGTGAAACTATATTTGCTATATATTTCCAACCCCCCAATTCCATCCATTTCTGAAAATTACAGCAAAAGCAAATGATGTATATTCCCTTTAATGATTGAAATCCTACTCACCTTTCCAAAGAAGTGCTTCCTGTACATTTCACTGGTGTCGTCGTATTCCAGCACCAGCCGGTCCGAGGCAAAGGGACAAAGGTCAGAGGTGACATTGTCGACGGCCGAGGGGTCAAGGTCCAGACCGTCGATCCAGAAGCCGCCATTGTGGGGCTGGAGGATGGCGGGATGCGAGCCGTTCTTCTTGAGGAGCTGTGGAAGATGAGTAGCAAGAAATTCATTTAAACTTAATCCTAAGCATAATGGTCTAAAGGGGTGGACTGCAAACCACAGGGCTGGATAGCTCAGTTGGTCAGGCACTGGTATGGTGTTCAGGAGGTCCTACATGTAGGTTTGAATCTATTTACAGTAAATTTCCATGTTCTAGCCCTTAGATGGCATTTAAGTGTGACATCGTTTTTCTCAATGATTCTTACAATCTCATCTTCCTACCTCTTTTATTCTGTAGGTGTTGGAGCTCCTCGTCTTGAGTCTTTCTTTGGCAGCCGCTGGGGAGCCAGTACTCTGAGGTAAAAATATTTTAAATTATCTGGTCACAATTTAATTTCTTAACTGTTATAAAAAAATTTACAGAGGGCAGGGTCAGGGAGTGGTTGTGAGTCTCTTAAAGAGTTAAGGTACACAAAGTGTCATCTCAGATCTCAACAAATTAACAAATTTGTTTATTTTTGATTCATGTAAAAGCCGTCTGATTTATGGATCACTCAAAAAAAGCTCAGCAGATCTCAGACCTCAAAAAATTAACAAATTTGTTTATTTTTGATTCATGAAACAGCGGTATGGTTTATGGATCACTCAATAACTCAAAAAAATCTCAGCAAATCTCAGATCTCAACTAATTAGTTTAATTTTAATACATGAAACAGCAGTCTGGTTTATGGATCATTCAATCACTCAAAAAAAAAGCTCAGCAGGTGGAAATTTACAAGATACAAGGGTACAGAGCTCCCAGGGTGAGTGAATCCTTACAGCCAAGAACCCTTTTTACAGCATTATTTCTTGTTAGTTGTTTCCTGTTGCTGCAGCTGCTCTGCCAATCAAGGCAAAAACAGCGCGATACATCGATTCCCCTCTACTGGGAGAAAATGTGTGGACTTATTTATAGAAATCAGGCCTTCTTGCAAAAACATGTCCTTATTTGGTCATGTTAGGTAAAGATAGCGCCAGATTAAAAAACAAATCAATAAAATTACATCAGAAATCTCGGTAAGTCCAACCTCAAGGGAATAGGTTCAAAATTTGTCCTAAGCAGAGGTTCTGAGTTAAGCAGGGTTGTATATCATTGTTATACTACTGAAGGCAATGGATTCTTTGTTTGACTTAACAGTCCTTTTGAGAATATCAGAGTTTGACTTAATATCGAGATTTCACTGTAATGGCAAAAACAAAACTCAATATCAAAAAAATCAACATGGATTTTTACAACCTAACGTACAGCAAAAAGTGATGTGGAATTGAACAATGCATTAGATGGATTTAAACAAGAAGACCTTTTGGTCACATTTGTAAAACATATTTGTCAAACCAAACTAACATAAAAAATGTATCTGTTCTTAAAATCACAACGAAATAGGCATATTTCTTCAGTCTATTGATTAAAAATGTTCTGTTACCCTTCAATTGTCTTTAGGGCTATGAATCTTGCTTTCTTATTCATTTCTACACTTTGTTTCTACACTTTATTTCTGGTCATCAAAATTCTGTACCACTCTAGACAAATCTCAAGGTTGATGCGGGGTTTGATGCAGGGTGGAATACATGCATCGTTTCACACTTGAAGAATTTCAACCCTGCGACAACCCTGCGTCAACCCTGAGATTGATTTCGCCCCCGGCTGAACTCAACCCTGCTCCAAACCAAGGTTGAGATAAACTCTTGCCGGGGTTCAAAACAGTAGTAACTGAGCGGAATAAGCTCGGTTGGCACGGAACCAGTGTGAAACAAGGCGGGGTCGAATGCAGGATTGAAAAATAAAAAATCAACCCGGGGCGGCCCTGGGTTCACCCAGGGTTGAGTTCAACCCGGGTTGAGAGGCTCTAGTGTGAAAAGGTCTTAAAGAAAGGCCTGACAATGTTTTTTTCCCCACCTGTTTCCTCTGTTACTCTCATGCATAAAAGCAGCAATTCAAGAAGGGAGTGTCCCCATACACATCCTACAAGTTCTTCATGTCAAAATTTAAGGAAAAGGTGTAACAACATTTCCTATTTTTTTAAATTCTTTTTAAACTCTCTTCCTCTCTATGCAAGAGGTAAATGAAGCAGTAAATGAAGCAGGGAGTGTCCACACACTCCCTTACAAATCCTTTCTCATCCTCGTTGTCAGACAGGATAATACAGACTTAAAGACTATTTCCAGCCATGATCTAATTATCACGACCGCATGCCGCCCCAGCTTACGACTAAATGAGGCTCTCCATTGTTTTTAATGACAAGAAATTACACCTCGCATTGAGTGATTACCTTTTTCCTCTCGTTACGATTGTGTGTGGTTTAAAGAAAAATTAGTAGAGAACCTGCCACAAGCAATATACAATGTATTGGCTGAAAACCTGTTATTGCTCAGAATTTTTTTTTTTTTGCTAATGAGTAGCTCCATTGAATTCTGGCGTTGAGCCTTTGGACATTTTACAGTACGTAGAGTTCAAACTAAGGATGTGACATCTACACATTTCAACATTTAAACAAAAAAAAATGCTACATCCATTTACAAATTTTCTAAAACTTTTAAATGAAACCAAAATTATAAAAAAGGGAACTTCTTTCACGTGATCTTTCTTGGAGTCAAACATATACCTACCGGTAGCACAAATGACGGTTTCAAACCTATTAAATAATTTACAAAACCTTAGGAGCACTGCAGTGCTTGATTACATTCAGGGTACACGTAGTGAAGTTTTTACTTTTTCAATGACTGCCTGCTACTTAATGTGTCAATCATTGTTGATTTATCACGTCAATCAAGGCTATCTGCAGACATAATGGGCAAGCGTCAGCCTTTGAAATGGCTAAAGCGTTTAAAGTTTAAACAGTTCTTAAAATATTTGCAAAGCATTTACAAAATTACATGCAATGTCACAACCTTGGTTCAAACCCCACAAAGCGATAAGGTACTGGGACCAGTTTACAGCAAAAAATGCTTTACAAAATTACACAATAAAAAATTACACGTAAAATATAATTAGTGTCTTACCTGTAGTACCAATGGAAGTGAACATCTTTGCTCATCTAAGCGATCACTCTGTTAAAAAAAAAAAGAAGAGAAATTGCATAAACTTTTTCCACAAACCATTTAAAAAAGCAATATATTTTCATCCACACTTCGTTGATTTGTTACGTTGTTTCTCCACAGGCAAGACAAACTTTAACCCAAAACTATTGATGATCTTGTCTTTTTCCAGGATTCGCGCATTCTCAATCCACAACTTACAACAACAACATTATCACAGCCTCTCATGCTTAATAAGCAGATAAATATCGACATTCTGATCACAAAGAAATACCGGTATAGGCAGACTTGACCTTAAAAACAATCGTCCTACCTGTATTTTCTGAAGCAGCTCAAAGAAGTCAAGGTCTTGTGAGCTCTGTTAAACAAGAACAAATAAAAGTAGCAACCATCAACAAATAATGATCTTTGCTTCAGTTTACGACTCTACCAAAGTAAACGCACCATTCTGGCGAAGAAATTTATCCACAAAACTAAGTTCAATAATTAATAAAAAGAAAAAACCAGTTACCTTGGACCTATGAATAGGATAGCAAGCCAACAAGTGCCGCATTGTCGATTGGAAAAGGAAAGCAACTGTTCCAACAGTACCAGAAATGATTTCTGAAATGACGACAAGTGTCCTAGTTGTCATGTTTATATAGCGCATCACGATAATTGGGCTTGGCACTTTGTGCGTACATCCTATCCCTAAAAATGGGACTGGCTGCAGGGACAGAAACCTCATATAAATTGATGATTCATTTGTGGCACTTTTATTTTTTTAATCCAGAGATATTTTGCCAGTTAAGGTGTTGTCATGGGTGAGTACATGACAACCCAACAGTATGCAACAATGACTGTGACTAAATCTACTTTGGAACAGATTTGGATTGATATCAAACATTACAGGAAGCCAGCGCACCTTGTATTAGGCCCAAAAAAAAAAGTCTCCGGTTTCTGGTATGCGCGCGTGTCGCCGTAGCCATGCGCGTCGGCAAAATGAAAAAGTGTTTTTTTCAATGAAAGAAGATGTCTCAAAACCGCCAAACTCACTGGTTTGACTGGAATCCTGCTGCTGCACAATTTTAACGTGTTTTTAGATGGGGTTATGATCGAGAATAAGCTTTATGTGGCCTCTCTGGACTCCCATATATTTTCACTAAGTTTAGACGGGCACCATTTGCAGTCATCAGCCGACATTTGAAGCAAAAAAGTCAGGTAAAAAAAAAAAAAAAGCAGCGTCGCCGCACCACTTTTTGGACAAGCTCCATACCAGAAACCGGAGACTTTCTTTTTTTTTGGCCTTATCATAAAGCTATACCAGTGAATCCTGAGTGCGGCTGAAGAAATCGAGAGTAAAGGCATTATCTATAACTGCTGCTAAATCCCGATGCCCCACTGACGTTTTCCCCCAAATAAAGACCACACATTTCCTATTGCTCCATTATTAGGTTAGTGACTCCCATGGGCTTTGGTTTGTGACGGGCTTTGGTTTGTGACATCATATTTGGTCTGTTCCAAGGGACGCCGCAACCCCTTTGAGAATTATGAAAATTAGGCACAACCATTTTGTTTCTCATCTGGTTTTGCCTTTCACAATGTTTCCCTTCTGTAAATGTATACCTAATCAACTAAGTAATCAAACTTCTGACAGCAAAAACTGAGGTAAATTATGAACAACATGTGTGGTAAAACAAAAGCATTGTAGCACTATTATGAGTACAAATTTTGGAAAGATTTCCATATAAGAAGTTCACTCAACACTCTGTGTACAAACCCTATGAGAGTGGACTGAAAAATTCTAAGTGTTTTCCAAGAACATGCTTGTATTTTCTCACTGCTCAAATTGACTTTGATGACATGAAATTGCTATCTGGGGGCTTGTTAGTCAATACAGAGGAAAATTAGTGAACTTCGCATATGGTAATCTTGCCCAAATTTTAATGCACAGTACAGTAAGTCATATATTTGTTGAGTTCTGCATTTAGTATTATAAGTATACTTTAAAAAAAAATTGAGTTGCTAAAACTAATATGAGAATATTTTTAGAAGTTCATATATGCATATGTGAAATAAAACAAAAGAAATGCAAATAATAGATTTGACCATTAAAAAGTGTTTTTTTCTTGAACATGTGTTTGACGTACTGAAACACTTCTTAATAATAGTAGGGGTAACCCTTTGATTCTTACTCTGTTTCTGAATGAGAACAATTATCAAAAAAGGGAAATGAAATAAGTACAAATTTTGTGAATGAGTTCATTTGTTTGAATTAGAGTATAAAATGTATTCATAAACACCAAAAGGAGTTTACCCATTCCTTCGGCCCGGGTCATTATCAGAGTCCAGACTCCAAAAGCGGTCTTAAACATCTTGTTTAAAACCAGCCAAACACATATCTATTCCCTTATTAAAGAATTGTCGCAAGTGACGAACTGTGCAAATAATGACCAGTCATATTTACAAATATTGAGAAAGCCCTCTAAGGAAAGCAAACAAGAGTCTCATCTTACCTCCCCATTGACGGCCTTGCCTTTGTCTTTGGGAGCATGATCCTCACAGAATAACTGTCCATCCATCTCCCGTCTCCTGTAAAGACAAGACACAAAATAATCCTTGATTAAGACAGTGATCGGCACTTGTAATCAGGGGGTCTCGGTTCAATCCCAGCTCAAATCCAACAGACGTATCCCTGTAGAGTACACTGTGCTCAGTGATACAGCGCATCCAGATGTAACAATCCTGAAAAGGAATAATTTGTTGTTCAACATCAAGAAAAATATTAAGACAACGTTTGGCCGTTTTTAAGCAAGAGGTTTTGGATTCAATCCCATCCCAAATCCAACGGACTTGTCCTGGCTGAATATTGGGAGCTCAAAGATATATAGCAAGTCTGGGCGTCAGGGTAAAACTGTCAAGAGCATTCAACATGAACTTGTCAAAACCTGACACGGAACAGCTTCTCTGTACATATCAGGTTTAACGTTCTGCTCCTGAACTTGCTCCTGGAGGGGAGAATCCAAGATGTTTTCAAACGTGCACGTAAAAGGTACATGTAGAAGACATGATATGTAACTCGAGATCGAAGACTGAGAGGGGTGAGACAGGGAGTTAAGTCTTGAAAGGTTGATGACTGGCGAGAATAAAAAAATACTTAGGATGTAGGCCTATTTGGCAAAGACAGCAGACTGGGTTGGTACGTACAAAAGTTACTTAATTACAACAGCTCTGCTAGAGAAATAAAATTGAAGACTTTAGCCAAGACACCTCAAGAAATATAAACTTGATAAGAGTGGCTTTAAAAAATCAGTGTTTTGTGGTTGGCAAATTACCTGTTGATGAACAGAAGAGGAATAGGATAGAAGCAGAGAAAAGAACATAAACTTGGATGAGCGAAATGTTTACAAATCTGTTTGATATACTGCCAACCACAGTGTCTAATGACAGGTGTGAAGACAAATGTAGGGAAAAAATTAGTCAAGTGATTATTGACGACAAACAACAATGACTAACAAGAAAGTGAGACAAGACTGAAAAAATTGATAGTCAGTTTTTCAAAAATGAAGAGGGAAAACAAACAGGGTTCAAAATGGAAAGGAAGCAAAAAAAGTTATGGGTTATTTCAATTTAAATTCAAAACAGAAGACTTACTTTGATTTATGGCCATGTTTCAACTTCATTATTCCAAGCATAGAGCTTACAAGTCTCTGCTCTATATTCCAATCCAACACAAATCACAATAGTCCACTTTCCGAGCTTATCGTCCACCAAAATCAAAGACCTCTACTCCTAATGGTTTTAGAATGCACGTACATTCCAGACCTGCACTTGTTTAGACTCATAAATAATTATGACATGTGATGCCGTCGGTTTCAGTGCCGGGTTACTGTGAAAAAGAAAAATGAGTACTCCACGGATGTGACTAAATGGTTCCTGGGCTGCGCAGTGTTCTGAATGGAAGCACTCAATAGGTCACCTTTTATGTGGACGTCCTCAAAACCACAATCCTGCCATTCAGTGTGGCGGTCCATAGACTTGTCAGTCACACGACCAGAGCAACAACAATCACACACACAGGATGAGTCATGGGGTAAGCCCATGCGCCCATCAACCTCAGGAACAGTCAGCAGTCCTAGAAGCTTAATCCTGTTATCTCGCTTATGACATAATAAAGGTCTGACAATAAGCCAATCAAAGTGATAAGGCCACACAGGAAGAAAAAGAAGTTTGAAGAGACATCATTTTCTGGTCGGTCAGTGTTTATGTTACTTTTTTGTGACTTTTTTTTATTGTTTGTTTGCGCTGGGCTGCTTCCTAGTTTGTGGGGTTGCAGGTTGTGGGGATGCGGGCTTTTTTGTTTATTTGTTCTGTAAGTGTACCTTTAGAAGTCACCAAAGTTATGGAAAGTGTGAAATTATAATTGATGGTTGTTTTTCAAGCAAAAGTGCCAGAAAGCCTGTTGGGTATAATCCAGAATGTAATTGACTACCATTCTACTGTTCAACAACCAACTTTTTCACAACTGTTTGAATATAATTATGTTATCATCAATTCAAGGTTATCATAAGACTGTTCACAGTTTCACAAAGAATTTGCCAGCAACAGAACTTGTGCCAGAAATCTCTGAACTGCCTTTTCTACACCACAGTTCGCATTTGACTTTTGTTTGGGGCCCAACATCTTTGCTCAAGTTGGCAGCAATGTTATAAATTCCAAGGCCAGAAGTTCACAGAACCAAGTTCACTGCCAAGGAGGCTGGGGGAAAGATGTGATTCCACAGGTAAAAAAAAAATAAGCAGACAAGACAGAGAAGACTGATCCAAAATCATTTTGGGCTTTTGAAGTTCAAAAGAATACTTTGAATTCACTGTTTGAATATTGGCCCTTCACAAAAAAACCCACACAACTAAAGTAGACTGCGATTGATACTCAAGTTGCTACCTAAAACATAACTTTTTATCTCCATTGGCTTATTTATAGGAATAAAACTGGTTGTCAGTGTAACTACAACAGAACTTCTAGCTTATCTTTTATTTGTGAGGGCAGTGGAGAGATTAGAATATAACTGACCATGAGGGACTGTTGTATATCCTTTGGCCAAACATTGTCCAACCAGATTTGTTGTCAAGGCTTGTACTTGTCACCAGCTGTAAACCAAGGCTAGTTTATTTAATTGCTGATGAGCTGTTAGGTAAACTTCTAAATAACAAAAGTAAACAGGAAGTGAAGTGCTGATTAAATAAACAGCCTTGTTGCAAAGAGGGATTAACATTTTATTACACTCCTGGAAACCTTCACCTGTGCACTTCACACAAAGAATATCATTCCAATGACAAAGTTGGGAAGACGGAAGTATAGGCCTAGCTGAAATTAATATAATTGATTAATTCAAAACCTCTTTGACATGCCTCTCTCATGGTTATTTTTGCTATATTTTCTCGACAAAGAACAATCATCAGGGGCAGATTCAGGAATTTTTGCAGGGGGGGGGGGGATCAGCAAATAATTGCTGAAAGGTAGACAGTATTTTTTGTCCAGAAACTTCGCCTACATACAATCTATAGGTAGGTGGGGGGGGGGAAATGGGGGGGGGGGGGGTTGCTCATATCATACTTTCAATGAGTGCGCTGATCAAATCCAACAACTATTAACACTATGTTACAGAATAGTGTACAAATACCCCCTAACCAAGCTGGCTCTGTCCGTATTTTGTGCACATGCAGATATTATTACCAGTATATTTTTTTTAGGTGTCAGAGCAGGAGGGGGGGGGGTGGTGTTTCACATTATTTTTAATGAATTTCTATGAAAAAAAAATTAAAAATTGACAGAGAGGGGGGTGTACCCCCATGGATCCGCTTCTGTTCATGAACATCATTGAAAGCTGACTGATTCAGAAACTTTTGATCCAGCCAACAGCATGTGAAGAAAAAGTGTCAATATAACAGTATCAACAACACAATTCAAAACATCAATTACTTAAACAATCTGCAAAGCAAATACACAATCAACCGCAAAGCTTTTCATCTCATGGCAGGGGCATTAGTCACCCGCAGGGCGCACCCAAAATAAGATCTTTCAAAACACGAACCAACAAAACCACAATATGACAAGTCATTATCACAAACAGTTTCAGATCCAGTACATATGTATCCCTACCCAAGCCCCAATGGCCATGACTGATACTAGACAATTGACGTCAATGGAGTGTCAAGTTCCTTGGTTTTTGTCCAACACCCGAGCAATAAATAGCAAATATGAAGTCATCATCAGAGACAACTTGATAACAGCGGGGAAACTTTCGATTGAAAATCTACAAGGCTCACCGGACAATCATAATACATATAACTACGCTCTGCTGGATATGAAAGTGAATATGACCACTGTTAATCCTTTGAACTACAGTCAGCGGGATTTGTATAGTCAACTCCTATATATGAGCATATCTTTTTTTTCTCTGTGTGTATGAGTCAATTGAAACTTTTGCATTGAAAGGAAATTTGTTGGAAATTCTGTGAGTCAATTTTGACTGCATGCTGGAGTTATGATGTCATTATGATGTCATTCAGGAGCAGAGTATGGTTGCGCCCATAAATTAAAGACTGAAATGCAAATCTGATTTTACTAGGTTTTACTGGGTTTATTTTGTTCTGTAGCTCCCTCTAGTGGCCTGTGTGATGCAGTGACAGGCAGAAAGATCAATATTTGCATGCCACTACACGCCGCTATAACGAACATCGTGGGATCCACAGAAATTGTTTGTAATAGCGATCTTTTGGTATATTATAGTGATTTTAAGCTGGTTTTTCCCTGCTTTTCTTTGGAGAAATAATAGTTACTTGTCGCTCTTCTGTGTATTTTCCAACAACAATGTTTGGCACGTTCTGTACACAAATATCGGGAGCCAAGCACAATGTTCTGTATAGCGGTGTTCAGCATAGCGACGTCCCACTGTACTACTTGCTTATGTGCATCCGCAGATGTGACACTATGTCACGGGTCACTCAACCACGGCCAAAAACAACAGGAAAAGGAGATGTTCACACTGTCGCTATCATTTCTAGTTCTCAGAAATGAAATGAAATCAAGCACAGACTAGGATGATAAACATGGTTGATTTGAAAACATGCCAAAATCTAAATCGTTCTAATTTAAGGCATATACATGAAAAATCATTTGCTTTTGATGCATTTTTTTTTTCAATTCCAATAATAACACCACTCAAATTCCCCCCTAATAATGTTAAAAACCTAACCTGTTGAAATTTCAGCTCAGTGCATTACACTTTTCGAGAAAAACATTCAAAAACCATGCACAACCTTTTAATCAGCCGATTGACTGATCGTTGGAAATCACCTACATTTCTTGATTTCTTCTGACAGCAAGCCAGATGTTACATTTTCATGGGATATTTAGTAACAGTATGATCTTTTAATCCAAGTAAGTTTTTTGATGATAATTTGGTAGGTTTTACTTTTGGGATATATAAAAATGATGCCTTTAAATCCAATATGAGGACTCTTTCCTATGCCCTTCTCTTCAAGAAAGAAACAAAATTAATCCGAAAATGTTGCATAAATTGCTTTGAAAGAATAATTCAATGTGCAATGTAAGATCTTGAATGTAAATAAACTCATTAAAGATGATATTACAGGGATGAAGAGCAATAGATTGATCATATTGATACGTCACAGATGTCACAGGATTCATCTTAATTATCACCAAATCATAACCTTGTCAAGCACTTTACAATCAATTAATATTTGATTTGTTTTCACAGTTAGGAATTTACATTTAAATTGGAGTGTTTAATTTGAAAAGCATTTCGAGATAATGACACCAAGCGGCAGCTTAAAGGCCTTACATGCCGTGTCTACAAATGAGAAACCTTCCCTTGAAAAAATGAATGAATATTATTTGGCACTTAGGATCAGTTATGTAATTTTTGACAGGTTTTTGCAGAATTTAATAGTTTCAAAGCTAGGCAAGTTAGGCCTTGTATGACAGTCCCAATGTCTCACTTTTACATATCCCTGATTAAGATTTACTTTTCTCGATAAAATTTGAAGAAAAAAAAGTGTTCTCTGACGACGTCAATTACACAGCTTTTAATGAAGATTTTGAATTATTGATGGGATATTTCTGACTTTCCTTTTATTTACAAGATGTATTAATGATTCACTTTTCTCTTAATCAGTACTCTGAATCAACATGAAATGTATATGAATGTCATTTGTGATTCCCTCAGTTTTTTTGTAAGTTGATTTTTTGTTAACGTCTATAACTCAGGCTTCAACTTGATGAAAAGTGTCGAATGATAGGCCTACACCTCACTGCAGTAGTGATTAATCTTGTCCTCTATGGGTTTTGTTGAGGCAGGTTCAACAAGCAATCACAAACTTGATCAATGTGATATAGCACACTGATTGCTGCACTTGAGTCGTATAGCACGTATTGGCAGGACTCGCAGCTATTTCTTCATTTATTTTTACAGAATTGAGGGAAAACAAACTCAGTACTGACTGCTACAGTCACGTCTTAGGGTATGCTTACATGTTTAAGTCAGACCCTTGAAACTTGTTTATGGTTTCCAAGGGTCAGGAATGAGGGGGAGGGGAAGCAAGCTGGATATCGAGACAGTATCAATCCTATCTTATATTTGTAAGATATCAAATTATTAGTTCTATGAAATTTCAAAGTTCAAGGTGTGATCAGTTTTTGAGAATATTGCTTTTGGCACAAAATACTCCTCTTCAACAAGTTCTTGTGTTAAAAACTTTAAATATAACTTTTCTTGTTTAGAATATATCTTTATTTGCCTTTCTTAATAGTTAAGAAGCAAACACTAATGAGGCAAAAATATACAAAATTGATGAGGATCATCAACTAGAAAAGTTCTTTTGTTTCAAAACAAAATCTGCCAAATGTAAAATTATGGTTGTTTTGGCATGAGACAGCTGAAAGAATCTTGGCTTAAAACAAGTCAGACTTATAGGGAGTAACTGGGGAAGGGAAGTGGCATTCAACTTTTTTTGAATTTCTACATCTGTTTATCTTAACAGA